CTTAGGAAAATGATCATAAAGCACAGTAATATTTTGATGAGAACATTGGACCTGGAAGAAATATGAAACTGAAAAATATGCTGAAGACTGTGTTTTCATCTTCCAAATTTGACCTTGTTGTACTTCAGACTTCTTAAAATTTGCAGTCTCATAATACCCCAAGCTCTCCCTGAGACTCTGTGATTCAAATAAACCCCTGCAGCCACTAATAGCTCTGACAATACATGGCCTTAGGCATAAGCACTTACCTTAGTGGGAGGTCTCTTTTGAAAAGTCCCTGAACCTGCCACTTCCTGGCCTTAGGCAAAATGTCTTTAATCAGCCGCTTATTCCACCACCTGTATCTGGGTTTCTTTTTTCCAAGTCTTTTAGAGACTCAGAAAGAACTACTTTACTTGTATTGGCTCCCTGGCAACACCTGTCCATATCATCTTTCCTTATAGTGGGAATTAAATAGATGAAGAAATATACACGGGATCTGAACCCTCATTCTTTGATTCATTTATTCATCCATCCATCCATTCATGAAAAAGTTGTTAAATATAATAATGAACTATTAGCCTTTGTATGAAGCACACTATTAAGCATTACTCATTTAATATTGATACCAACACCAGGAGGTATTATTATTTCTCTTTTATAGATAGTAAAAGCAGAATTAGGCTATAAGTAATTCTAACAGTACTAAAGACAAAAGCACAATTAGGATTTGAGTCCAGGCTGCTTGACTCTAAAGCCTGTTCTCTTAATCCATATGTTATATAGTGTAATACTGATCATAAGGGAAATTTATAATATATCCCTTCTAAAATAGGAAACAAATGTTAGGTTAAACAATACACATGGGAAATGAAACTTTGTAAAATATTATGTATGTGGTCATGTATATTTGGGAATACTTTTGTAGTATATTTTGGTAAAAAATAAAATGATTCAAGTGGAATTAACAAATATGGCTTGATTAGGAAAACACTGGGAGAAAAAGTTATGATGCAGGCTTGGTAAAGAGTTAACTTATATACCCACAAGATATACACAGATATACAGCCAGTCATTCAACAGTTTAGTCAACAAGCTTATATTGAGTGATTATTAAATGCCAGGCATTATTCTAGGAATTGGCAACATAGTTTTGAATAAGTAGATAGGATCCTTGCCTTATGGAGTTCATGTTTTAGTGGAGGGAAATAGAACACATCACTAAATATAGCCTCTTCTTTCAGATAATAGTAAATACTACAGAGAAAAGTAAGCAGGGTCTGGAGATTAGAACAAGACATCCAGGAAATGCTGCTGTTTTATACCCAAATGGAAGGTTTATATAGGAGTCTGGGAGGTAAGCAAGTATATAGAGGGCGAGAGAGGTCTTGACATGTTCAACCCACAGCAAGAATCCCAGGAACAGAATTTATGATGGTGAGAGAGTGATAGAAAAAGAGTTGGAAAAGGCAAAGCCGAGGCCAAGTCATATGGAGCCTTAAAGTCTGTGGGGACTTTGAATTTTTTCTAAGTAGCATGGGAATTAATTGAGTTAGGGAATGATGTGATCATAGCTTCTAGAAAATCACAGCGGCTGGTGTAAGGAGGGATGGAGTAGAGGCATTTTAAGACTGATTAGAGAAATGTCTATTCAGGTCCTCTGCCATTTTTTAATTGGATTGTTTGTCTTTTTGTTGTTGAGCTGTATGAGTTCCTTATATATTTTGGATATTAGTCCCTTATCGGAAGTGTTGTTTGCAAAAATCTTCTCTCATTCGGTTGGCTGCCTCTTTATTTTGTCAATGGCTTATTTTGTTGTGCAGAAGCTTTTTAATATGATATAGTCCCATTCATTTATTTTAGCTTTTACTTCCCTTGCTTTTGAAGTCAAGTTCATAAAATGCTCTTTGAACCCAAGGTCCATAAGTTTAGTACCCTCTATGCAGTTTATTGTTTCAGCTCTTACGTTTAGGTCCATTTTGAGTTAATTTTGGTACACGGTGATAAATAGCAGTCTAGTTTCATTCTTTTGCATGTGACTTTCCAATTCTCCAAGCACCATTTATTGAAGGGGCTGTCTTTTCTCCATTGTGTGTTTTTGGCTTCTTTGTCGAAAGATGAGGGTAAAGGGAATCAAATATGTGATGATGGAAGGAGAACTGACTCTGGGTGTTGAATACACAATGTTATATATATATATATATATATATATATATATATATATATATATATATATATATATATTGTATTACAGAACTGTACACCTTAAATCTATGTAACTTTGCTAACAGTTGTCACCCCAATAAAATTTAATTAAAAAAAAAGACTGATGAGAAGCCTATTGCAGTAGTGGAGAAGAAAGGTAATGGTGATTTAAATAGGAAGATCAAGGTCAGCGATGAGAATTTGTAATCTTTGAGGTATATTTTGAAGATAGGGCTGACAAAATTTACTGGTAGATTGTACATAGATGTAAATGTACACTTGAATGTAAGAAAGAGAAACTGGGTCCTATAGTTTTGACCTATGGACTGGATGAAAGATGAATTACTAAGATTTAGACTAGCGTGGATGGGTGATAACTTCAATGCACATCACAACAAAAATATCCTGGGAACTCTGAAATAGTCATTTCAATAGAGTGGAGGAGACAAAATTCTATTGAAAAGAATGAGGAAGAGAATGGAGAGTGAAGAAGAGGGGATGGCTTGTAACTGTAGCAGCATGGAAGGAACGCAAAGGATAGAAGAATTACGACCTTGGCACCACAGTGAACGGAAGTCCAGACAAATCGTTGATTACTTCGTCTTCCCCGCTTCAGTCTATTGGAAGACTAACATATGAAAACATAGTGTGAGCAATACTATGACAGAGCAGTGCAGGAACCCACGTGGTGCTGTGGGGAATTGTGGGGCACTTAACACACAAGGGAGTCAACAGAGGGTTAGCGAGGTCATGTATCAACAGCAATGTCCATGGGTGGTAGGCTAAATGAGAGAAGGAGTATCAAGCCACAGCATTAAGAGATTATAGGATTATTATAGTTTAGTAGGCTGAACTGGGATGGGAAATTGGGAGGGTGAACTCTTGAAAAATTATGGGTACCTATAAGCCTGGAGATGTAGTGAGAGGCTAATTCAATTAACTATGTGTATTTGTAGAATTATGACAATGGTGAGATTTTTGAAGGACTTTCAGCAACGAAGTAACATGATCAAATTGTCATTTTAAAAAGGTCATTTTGGGCCGGCCGAGTGGCTCAGTTGGTTAAGAGCTCGCTCAAGAGTTTGAGCTCTGAGCAACAGCGGTTCGATGCCTGGCCCGAGCTGAGCAGCTGCCGAGCTGCCTACGGGTGGCAGGATGGCTCAGCTTTAAAAAAAAGGTCATTTTATGGGGACTGTATTACATGGAAAATATACCAGCCACAGGCAGCCCATTGATGTGTTTTAATGCGGTAACCTAGAAAAAAAAGAGAGTGAGGGAGGATAGTGACAGTGAAGATGGAGAGGAAGAGCGTTGGTAAGGTATTTTCTTTCCTCTCAGGATCAGCACTTTATCAATCACTGTGTTTCCTCTTAATCTTGGGGTCAGTCTTTATTTTACAATTCTTCCTCTCCTCCTGGCATGCTATTCTCAAATCATGCAAAACTGTTGGCTTTCTTCTTAAGAGGTCTAAATTCTTTCTGACCAATTTAACCTAAATTTGTATATAACCCAATAATATAGATTTATAAGCAAATACAACAAAATGACTTCCCCTAAATATATTATCACATTGTTAAAAATATTTGGAGCACTCTTTTGAGTAATTATCCTAGCTTTTTGCATTCAGCTTTGGAAGTGGTACAAAAATGCATTGTTAACTTTTTAAAAAAGTATTACAAAAGATATATTCTAATATCTCACCATTATAGGCATTGTGAGTCAAATGCCTAAGGAGCACATGTCATTGGTTCCTAAAATAACAATAGTTGCAAAAGAAAATATACTTTATTGACTTCTAACTGTTTTCCAAGTCATGTGGTAGCTTCTTTATGTGCCTTATTATATATTTACATTATATATTTTTCACAAAAGCCCTCTGGAAACAATTGTATTGCCATTTCACAGGCAAGGTATCTGAGATTTAGAAAGTTTAAGGAACATGTCCAACATTGCACAGTATTTACAATTATAATTGGGTCATGCCCAGAACCAAGCTGGTACTACTAGTGGCATGAGAATTTTACCTTAAGAAAAGTACCTTTGATGCAAACCTTTATGAACTTTAAAATAGGTCTATATACTTATTCTTTCATGTAGTAATTCTATTGGCAATAACCAAACTGGTGCCATACCGGGTATCTTCCTTGAACTGAAGAACATGGAGCTAAAATACCAGGACTCAAATCCCAGCTGCATCTTTACTAGCTATGTGATGATGTTGGACAAGTTATTTAATCTTTAAAGACTCGATTTTCTCAGCTGTAAAAAGGGGAGAATGCTTATTCATATCCCCTTGGATTGTTGGGAGGCTTTAGTGAGTTAAACTATGTAAAGTGCCTACAGGAGTCCCTTGGCAAATAGTAGGCTCTATATAAATGTCATGGTCATAAGATAATTGTCATCGTCATCATCACCTCAGAGGATGCTATTACTGCTCATGGGATGCATAAAGGGAAAAGTAACACATATTAAATAAATCTTCAAAAAAATCTGTATCCAGATATGAGCAATTTTTAACATGAATGGGGCAATGCACTTTTTAGTAACATAATACAAATGATATGCTATTACTGAGTGAATTATAGTATGATTTTAGGTATGGAATTGTGAGTTTATCTACTAATGTGTCTGATTATTTTAACTTTTTGTGGTATAGGAAGACTTAATTTTCATTGTTCATATGAATTTTAAAAAATAGTATGACTGATTGTGTTTGTAAGTCTAGCATCTTTCTAAGATGTTATCTCTGATCATTTGTTTTATTTTAATCTTTTGCATTAGAACTAATTTCCTCCCTTGGACTGCTTTACTTTTAGTTCCCTGTGGTGGAATTTTAACTAAGCGCAAAGGGACAATTTTATCTCCTGGATATCCTGAGCCTTATGACAACAATCTGAATTGTGTATGGAAGATCACAGTGCCAGAGGGAGCAGGCATTCAAGTGAGCATGTTTAAATTTTATTTCTTTTCACTGTTATGTTTGAAATCAGTTTTTTCAGAGATGACAGGATGCACGTTATTTCTAAAGGTATAGCCAGTGCTTTTGATGGACATAGTTGAACCTAATAGAAAAATACTTACTATTAATTGTTTCACCTGCAAGTAACAGAAAAACAATTCAAGATGGCATAAGAAATTAGAAAAATGTGTTGCTCCACATAACCTGGAATCTTGGGGCAAGATGATTCAATGGCTGTTTATTTCAGAGGTTCTGCTTTATCATTCTTGGCCCAGGTTTTTTCCATCTCTCTGCTCTGCCATCCTTAGTATATTGGCTTAATTCTTGGGCTTCCTTTCTCATGGTCTTGAAATGGCTTCAAAATCTCTAGGCATAGCAGCCTTTACACAGCAATGTCCAGTACCCAAAATGCAATGTCTTTCTCTTATGTATCTTTACAATGGTTAAGAGAACTTTTCAAGAAACCTTCCAGCAAACTTTCCCTCCTGTTCTGTTGATCAAAATTGCAACCATATTCATTCCTAAGCCATGCACTGGGCAATAGCAAAAGACTTACTATGCTTTGGCTCAAACAAATCAGTATTAAGTATCTGGATCAGGCAAAGGGCTCAGCCTCCTCTGATATATACAGCTTTCATTCAGTTGAATGAAACCAATTCTCTGTTAACAAGGAAGAGGGATGCTATTCTATAGACAATCAGTAGTATCTATTATATTATTTCAATTGTGACCATTTTTTTCGGAGAGGGGAGCAATTTGACGAGTTACTCTGTTTTACAAGGAGATTATTTCTGGATAAATTGATGGCATTTTACTGCTGAGTAAGTATAATATATGCTCCAGGGAAGGTAATTATGCCTCACAAAATATTATAGTCTATATTTTATAAAAATAGCTTGATGACTTCTCCAATAGCGTTATAAGGTTTTCTTTTAAGTACTTGAAATAGATATCAGTTATGGAAAAAGTAGCCAAGACTTCATCCATTAAAAATGAAATTGGATAGAAGTTAATTTTCAGTAAAAAAAAAAAAANAATTCTTTACTGTAAATTTATTTATAGTATTTTAAAAATATTTTTATTAACAACTATGGAAGGAGAACTGACTCTGGGTGGTAAACAAACAATGTTATATATATATATATATATATATATATATATATATATATATATATATATATATATGATGTATTACAGAACTGTACACCTTAAATCTATGTAACTTTGCTAACAGTTGTCACCCCAATAAAATTTAATTAAAAAAAAAGACTGATGAGAAGCCTATTGCAGTAGTGGAGAAGAAAGGTAATGGTGATTTAAATAGGAAGATCAAGGTCAGCGATGAGAATTTGTAATCTTTGAGGTATATTTTGAAGATAGGGCTGACAAAATTTACTGGTAGATTGTACATAGATGTAAATGTACACTTGAATGTAAGAAAGAGAAACTGGGTCCTATAGTTTTGACCTATGGACTGGATGAAAGATGAATTACTAAGATTTAGACTAGCGTGGATGGGTGATAACTTCAATGCACATCACAACAAAAATATCCTGGGAACTCTGAAATAGTCATTTCAATAGAGTGGAGGAGACAAAATTCTATTGAAAAGAATGAGGAAGAGAATGGAGAGTGAAGAAGAGGGGATGGCTTGTAACTGTAGCAGCATGGAAGGAACGCAAAGGATAGAAGAATTACGACCTTGGCACCACAGTGAACGGAAGTCCAGACAAATCGTTGATTACTTCGTCTTCCCCGCTTCAGTCTATTGGAAGACTAACATATGAAAACATAGTGTGAGCAATACTATGACAGAGCAGTGCAGGAACCCACGTGGTGCTGTGGGGAATTGTGGGGCACTTAACACACAAGGGAGTCAACAGAGGGTTAGCGAGGTCATGTATCAACAGCAATGTCCATGGGTGGTAGGCTAAATGAGAGAAGGAGTATCAAGCCACAGCATTAAGAGATTATAGGATTATTATAGTTTAGTAGGCTGAACTGGGATGGGAAATTGGGAGGGTGAACTCTTGAAAAATTATGGGTACCTATAAGCCTGGAGATGTAGTGAGAGGCTAATTCAATTAACTATGTGTATTTGTAGAATTATGACAATGGTGAGATTTTTGAAGGACTTTCAGCAACGAAGTAACATGATCAAATTGTCATTTTAAAAAGGTCATTTTGGGCCGGCCGAGTGGCTCAGTTGGTTAAGAGCTCGCTCAAGAGTTTGAGCTCTGAGCAACAGCGGTTCGATGCCTGGCCCGAGCTGAGCAGCTGCCGAGCTGCCTACGGGTGGCAGGATGGCTCAGCTTTAAAAAAAAGGTCATTTTATGGGGACTGTATTACATGGAAAATATACCAGCCACAGGCAGCCCATTGATGTGTTTTAATGCGGTAACCTAGAAAAAAAAGAGAGTGAGGGAGGATAGTGACAGTGAAGATGGAGAGGAAGAGCGTTGGTAAGGTATTTTCTTTCCTCTCAGGATCAGCACTTTATCAATCACTGTGTTTCCTCTTAATCTTGGGGTCAGTCTTTATTTTACAATTCTTCCTCTCCTCCTGGCATGCTATTCTCAAATCATGCAAAACTGTTGGCTTTCTTCTTAAGAGGTCTAAATTCTTTCTGACCAATTTAACCTAAATTTGTATATAACCCAATAATATAGATTTATAAGCAAATACAACAAAATGACTTCCCCTAAATATATTATCACATTGTTAAAAATATTTGGAGCACTCTTTTGAGTAATTATCCTAGCTTTTTGCATTCAGCTTTGGAAGTGGTACAAAAATGCATTGTTAACTTTTTAAAAAAGTATTACAAAAGATATATTCTAATATCTCACCATTATAGGCATTGTGAGTCAAATGCCTAAGGAGCACATGTCATTGGTTCCTAAAATAACAATAGTTGCAAAAGAAAATATACTTTATTGACTTCTAACTGTTTTCCAAGTCATGTGGTAGCTTCTTTATGTGCCTTATTATATATTTACATTATATATTTTTCACAAAAGCCCTCTGGAAACAATTGTATTGCCATTTCACAGGCAAGGTATCTGAGATTTAGAAAGTTTAAGGAACATGTCCAACATTGCACAGTATTTACAATTATAATTGGGTCATGCCCAGAACCAAGCTGGTACTACTAGTGGCATGAGAATTTTACCTTAAGAAAAGTACCTTTGATGCAAACCTTTATGAACTTTAAAATAGGTCTATATACTTATTCTTTCATGTAGTAATTCTATTGGCAATAACCAAACTGGTGCCATACCGGGTATCTTCCTTGAACTGAAGAACATGGAGCTAAAATACCAGGACTCAAATCCCAGCTGCATCTTTACTAGCTATGTGATGATGTTGGACAAGTTATTTAATCTTTAAAGACTCGATTTTCTCAGCTGTAAAAAGGGGAGAATGCTTATTCATATCCCCTTGGATTGTTGGGAGGCTTTAGTGAGTTAAACTATGTAAAGTGCCTACAGGAGTCCCTTGGCAAATAGTAGGCTCTATATAAATGTCATGGTCATAAGATAATTGTCATCGTCATCATCACCTCAGAGGATGCTATTACTGCTCATGGGATGCATAAAGGGAAAAGTAACACATATTAAATAAATCTTCAAAAAAATCTGTATCCAGATATGAGCAATTTTTAACATGAATGGGGCAATGCACTTTTTAGTAACATAATACAAATGATATGCTATTACTGAGTGAATTATAGTATGATTTTAGGTATGGAATTGTGAGTTTATCTACTAATGTGTCTGATTATTTTAACTTTTTGTGGTATAGGAAGACTTAATTTTCATTGTTCATATGAATTTTAAAAAATAGTATGACTGATTGTGTTTGTAAGTCTAGCATCTTTCTAAGATGTTATCTCTGATCATTTGTTTTATTTTAATCTTTTGCATTAGAACTAATTTCCTCCCTTGGACTGCTTTACTTTTAGTTCCCTGTGGTGGAATTTTAACTAAGCGCAAAGGGACAATTTTATCTCCTGGATATCCTGAGCCTTATGACAACAATCTGAATTGTGTATGGAAGATCACAGTGCCAGAGGGAGCAGGCATTCAAGTGAGCATGTTTAAATTTTATTTCTTTTCACTGTTATGTTTGAAATCAGTTTTTTCAGAGATGACAGGATGCACGTTATTTCTAAAGGTATAGCCAGTGCTTTTGATGGACATAGTTGAACCTAATAGAAAAATACTTACTATTAATTGTTTCACCTGCAAGTAACAGAAAAACAATTCAAGATGGCATAAGAAATTAGAAAAATGTGTTGCTCCACATAACCTGGAATCTTGGGGCAAGATGATTCAATGGCTGTTTATTTCAGAGGTTCTGCTTTATCATTCTTGGCCCAGGTTTTTTCCATCTCTCTGCTCTGCCATCCTTAGTATATTGGCTTAATTCTTGGGCTTCCTTTCTCATGGTCTTGAAATGGCTTCAAAATCTCTAGGCATAGCAGCCTTTACACAGCAATGTCCAGTACCCAAAATGCAATGTCTTTCTCTTATGTATCTTTACAATGGTTAAGAGAACTTTTCAAGAAACCTTCCAGCAAACTTTCCCTCCTGTTCTGTTGATCAAAATTGCAACCATATTCATTCCTAAGCCATGCACTGGGCAATAGCAAAAGACTTACTATGCTTTGGCTCAAACAAATCAGTATTAAGTATCTGGATCAGGCAAAGGGCTCAGCCTCCTCTGATATATACAGCTTTCATTCAGTTGAATGAAACCAATTCTCTGTTAACAAGGAAGAGGGATGCTATTCTATAGACAATCAGTAGTATCTATTATATTATTTCAATTGTGACCATTTTTTTCGGAGAGGGGAGCAATTTGACGAGTTACTCTGTTTTACAAGGAGATTATTTCTGGATAAATTGATGGCATTTTACTGCTGAGTAAGTATAATATATGCTCCAGGGAAGGTAATTATGCCTCACAAAATATTATAGTCTATATTTTATAAAAATAGCTTGATGACTTCTCCAATAGCGTTATAAGGTTTTCTTTTAAGTACTTGAAATAGATATCAGTTATGGAAAAAGTAGCCAAGACTTCATCCATTAAAAATGAAATTGGATAGAAGTTAATTTTCAGTAAAAAAAAAAAAAACAAACTCAAATTTTAAATTTACATTTATAATATTTCAGAAAAGTCAAAAAATTACTTGACTGGTATCAAGAGTAAAATAGGTCAGTAAACCAAATTTTTATATTTATATTATGTGAGAAGTTTGTGGGGTGGAGTGTATTCATTTGTTTGTCTGTTTATTTTAGCAAAATATGTTGGAGGGAGAATTCCAAAGGGGCTGCATTCGACAGTAACCCAGTTATGAAGCAAAGAGTAATCTTTATATGATGAACCATAAAGAAAGATGTTGGTACTTTAATTGTGTCAATTTATAGCATGATCATCATGAGTTAATAACATTTCAAACAAAGTACAGTGGGATTTGAATGTCTGTATGGGGGATATCTAGTTTTAATGATTGGAAATTCATTACCTCATAAAACTATCCTGTTGCCATGATGGACAACTCCATCTAATGCAAAGTACTTCTGAACATTGAATCGGTTACGCTTTTTTAAAACCATTTGCTTGACCCTCATTTGGCTTTTTGTCATAGTGGGTCCTCAATCATTTACTTGAGTCTTCTACCGTATCTATGTGTTTATTATGCCAAAATACATTGACAGTTTGCCCAGGTTCCTTGGAGCAAATTGCATTAGTATTTTGTGGCTGCTGTAACAAATTACCATGAATTTGATTGCTTAAAATTACATAAATTTATTTTCTCACAGTACTAGAGGCCAGAAGTCCCAAATCAACTTTATCTCACTGAAACGAGGTGCTGACAGGACTGGGCTGTCACCCTCCCCTCTCCCCCTCCCAGACACTGGGGGAGTATCCTGTCTTTGCTCCTTCCAACTTCTGGTGGCTGCCAGCATTCCTCAGTGTCTGACTGCATCCCTCCAGCTTCTGCCTCTGTTGTCATATTACCTTCTCCTTCTCTCTCTGGGTCGACTTTCCCTTGGCATCTTTCTTATAAGAATGAACAGTCATGATTGCATTCAGGGCCCAGCTGAACAATCCATGATAATCTCCCTATCTCAAGATCCTTAGTTTAATCACATCTGAAAGAACAATTTTCCATAAAAGGCAATATTTACAAGCTCCATGGATTAGAACCTGATATCTTTGGAAACCATTATTCAGTCTGCTAAACTGTATTTGGAGTTAAATGGAATTTTTTTCCATTTAATGGATTTTAGATAATAGGCTTTTCTAAGATGTCTACATTTTTTTCTTACTACCACTCTGATCTCAAAAACTCAGGGAAGAAAAGATAAATTATTCTTAAATCTTCCCTATCACTTCTTCCTCTATTTGATTCACACAAAATCCAGTAACTTCCTTATAGCAACACATGTGACATCTGGTTACCGCTTTCTACCTTTTTTTTTCCTTTTTTAAAGATTTTTATTTTATTGGGGAATTGAGGGAGGGAATAGCGTTGGGGAATCAGGGGAGGGGAACAGACAAGTTGCTGTTGTTTTGTTCTTCAGTCTAGTTGTGGAGGACGTTGCTTCACTGGCCCAAGTTGGCACCATCATTGCGCTCTTCCCGAGTGAGGCAGATCAGTCGCCGGCTTCTGGATGGCCGCTCACTGCGGCTGCTGGCCACACACTGTAGCCCATGGCAATCCAATAGCAGGAGCTGCAGCCAAGCCGTCGCTGGTGACTCACGGCAGCCCAGCTCCAGGTTGAGCTGTTGTTCAGCATCTTAGCTGTAGAGGGCAGTGTCACTGGCCCTCATATGTGGGATCCGAACCGGGGCCTTCTGGCGTCCCAAGCCAGTTCTTAACCAACATGCCACTCGGCCGGCCCTACCGCTTTCTATCTTTACTGCCTCCAACCTACTTTAGTCTTTCATTGCTTCTCACACGGGCTACTGCAATAAACAGTAAAATTGTTGTTTCACTTTTATTTCCTTCACCCAGTGCAATGCTTAGCGCTCAGCCCTGATTGTGCTTCTTTTACCCCCCATCTAAACTTCAGTGGAATATGCCTCAATTGCGTAATTATTACGGTGTTCAGTCTTTATAGCCTCTCTCTCTCTGTGTCTCTCTTAGCTAAGATATATTTAATCCTTCATACACTCTGGGCACTACCCTAAACTCAATTTAATTTTATAGCAAATTTATGAATCAAGTACCTTAATTACAATGGTTTATATAAGTAATCCTTAAGGCATAGCAATATTAACAACTCTTCAGGGGTTACATCCAGTAAAAGCCGAGGAGATTCTTGCAAAAGCTCAAGAGTAGAGGGAGCCAGAACGTTGCAAACCCAGGCATAACTCTGATATCTTTCATATTTATACACCAAGCGCTACTTTTTCTAACTTTTCTCTACTTTTTCTAACCTTGCAAGCATATTTTCTTTTATGCACATACCCTCTGCTGTGGCTAAATTGGATTACTGATGGTTCACAAAATCCCCCTCATGGCTTGCCTCCTCTACATTTTTACTAACTCAGTAAATTTCTTTTGGTGGAGCACCTCTCAACCAAAGAACAATTAGCTAATCTTTTTTCCTATCCCTGAATTTAAGGGAAAGAAAATTCAGATGTGATGAGAGAATTGATCATTGTTTAAGGAGGTGGTTGCTCTAGTGCAGTCATACAGCTTTAATTCTGGTCTTCTTCCTGTCCTGGAACATTGCCATTGGGCGTCATGCCTGCCGCCCAGGCAGGGTATCCGTTGCCATGTGGCACTCACCCCTGGAAAGGAGACACCAACGTTCACTGGAATGGAAGAATGATGATGGACTATTCTGTAGATAAGGAATTTCTAATTAGTGCAATTGTTATAATTATTTAGTAAGTGTTTGCATCTATAACAGACTTTAAATAAAATGAATTTATTTTAATACAGTTATTCCTTTCCCTTTTCCAAATGTACAAAATATATAATAAGCAAAGAGAAAAACAGATAATATCCACAGTTGTGAGGGTCCTGTAGGTCCTTGCAAAGCTCAAGCTGTGCCAAGTGAAGTGCAACAAAGTAACACATGCCTCTTTCTTTAAATAAAATTTAAGGCCTGAGAGATTTACACTCCAACATTTCCCTTGTCAATCCTAGGGACTTTCACAGCAATTCAGTTATTATGACTCCATTCATAAAAATAGTCTTTAAAAGATATACCCAAAGTGTAATTTTTGGTCATTCATATTGAGAGCTATTAAAAATGTGCATGGGGTCCAATATATGGCGATGGAAAGAGAACTGACATTGGGTGGTGAACACACAATGTGATGCATAGATGATGTATTACAGAGTTGTACACCTAAAATCTATGTAACTTTGCTAACAGTGGTCACCCCGATTAAAAAAAAATAATATGCATAGAGGATACTAATGTTAATTTTTAAAAACTAAAATCAGAAAAGTGAACAAAGGTTATGTAAATACAGGAAAAATAAAATATATCCAGGATCATTCTAGAAAAATGTGTGTTATAAGTTCTTATATGTTTGTGGACCACAGATCTGGTTATTTCCTAATAGCTAAAGCAAACCCAATCAGTGACAAGAACTTAACACTCCAAAATGTAAAAGTTAACCAGTTGTTTGGAACATGCATTGGGATCCTAGCCCTGACACATTCGATGAACCCCAAGCATTTAATAAAGAAAATGCTCTGAAATGGTGACAGCAAAACTCAGAGTTACATCCATAGTGAACCCTGCGGGGTGCCCACAGACTTTTCTTATGACTGTCAGCCCATGGAGGCCAGTGTCATAATGGCAAAATTCAGTTGTTAAAACAGCCTTCTATGAAGGGCCACCGTGATGTGAGCCAAGCTTTGAGCTCTCTCTTCTAGGGGATGTAGATGGACGATAGTATATTAATTTTGTTAGGAATGTGTGTTCTTAACAGTAATGATGATTTCACAGGTACAAGTTGTCAGCTTTGCTACAGAACATAACTGGGATTCCCTGGACTTTTATGATGGGGGAGATAACAATGCTCCAAGACTTGGAAGTTATTCAGGTAAATACGAGTTGAACTTAGTTAAAATACTGTTATGCTTAGTAATTTTAAAATCTCTTTTTAAAAAGTGCTCCCTGGGCCTGGTGCAGGACGTGTCCTCCCGAAATGACCTGCCTGACACTTTATGTTTGTAAATGTCTGTAGTAATAAAGTTAATAAAGTTAATTTTAATTATTAAAAAAATAATAATAAAAAAATAATAAAAAGTGCTCCCTAGAATTCTGACTTGGTCATTTTAATTTCCTTTTTATAAACTATTTGCAATGAACTAAATTACAAAGTTAGAAGTTTGAGAGGCTTTAAAGGTAATAAAGTCAAAATTGCTGCTGAAAACGTTACTGTAGTCTTATTATATTTGTGTATTTATTGATGCTTTTATGTTAATGGTAACATTTTTAGCTGTTCTTCAACAATAGTATGTGTGATATCCCCCTTTTTCTTAAAAAAAAAAGAGTGAGCAATAATAGTTTTAAAAAAATAGTGCCTGGTAATCTGGTAATTATGTTATATCCACTTAATAGAATGTTATGAAGCCATTAAAATAATTATAGAGGTTGTGTATCAACATGGTAAATGCTACAAGGCACTGTTCAGTGAGCATAAAGAGAGTATGCAATTATTTCTATGAAATGAATAAAATTATATAAAGTTAATATATACATATGTACCCAAACTAAAAGGTTTTTAAATTTCTTAAGACTTCTTAAAGGTAATTTATGCAGTACTCCAACACCTCCTTTTGGCATATAAAAGGTGAAATGAAGTTTTTTTTTAAATTTTAACTATACATTTCACATTAATTTTAACTATAACTTTTAAATCTAGAAACATGAACATAGTTAAACTATTAACTTACACATTTCAGTTATACTGAAATAAGTTTAAATGGTTCTAAATTTTTAATAGATTTTTAAATGGAGTATGATAACCAATTTTTCAGCATCATCATTGAGGAAAGGAAAGAAAAAATATCTAGAGGAGAAGTGATTTGGTTTAGGGATAAAAAATATTTTAGATACAGATTTAGACATAACTCTTTCCTGAAAAAAAATTACATAAAAATTTGAGTATACATTTGTTTATAGTAGGTTAGATATATTACGTTCTTAATAATGAAGATGATAAAAGTGATAAATAAAATGCTATTGATTACCAAGTGCTAACTCGGTGTGAGTTTTGTCATATATTTCCCTCATTTGATCTTTCTAGCAGTTTAGGTAGGTGATTGAAACATAGTGAGAAGTTTCCCAGAGTTGTACAGTGTATATTAGAATGAGATTGGGACCCAGCTAGTGTGACTCCATAGCAGAGGGCTAACATCCTCTGAGAAACTAAAAAGGCAGTTCCAGTGACTTTTGAGTTACCTCTGTCTTCAGTGATTCAGCAAGGATGCCATGGACTGAGAGCAAGTTCAAGAAAAAAAGAAAAAGAAAAAGCAATTGTGTCTTTTGTAATCAATGCATACTGATTCATTTTATAGAAGAATCACAGAGTTGTGCAAAGTGTAAAGTAACTAGTTACCAAAAAAATGTTTGCAACACTATCAACTCAAATGTTTGTTGAACTTTATCTTAAAATATAGAATTGACAGTTATTTATATGCTTGTCATTTGAATCTGCTAGAGTTGTAATCTTGAGGCTTTTAAGATTAAACTATTATTCAATGTCAAATACTCAAGTTGTAACTGGTTTAAACAGATATTTTATATTTTCAACTGAACAATTGAATAAACTAAAGTTGATTTCCTTTAGAAGTTCAAAAGAAAATCATTATAATGCATTTACTGAGAGACAAGGTTAACCCTATCTCATAACTGGGATTTTTTGAATGCTAACTAGCAGCTTTGCGTGGTACAAAACAATACACAAACACACACACACACACACACACACACACACACGGCACCAAAAAAATGTATACACATTGTAAGAAAGGAAAAAACTATTAAATTTGTAATACTCAATATATACCAATAACAAAAGATGAATACAAGTCACGTTTGACTTCGGCAATTACAAGAAGTGCTCAAAGTGGTTACCATCAGTGTAATGTTAGTACAGTTTTTTTCCTTTTTAAAATGTGTATACATTTTTTGGCACCGTGTGTGTGTGTGTGTGTGTGTGTGTGTGTGTGTGTGTGTGTGTGTGTTTATGATAAAGGGCAAAATGAATATATCCTCTGAGCCCTTGAAAACCTTAAGTTAGTATATCATAAAAATCACATGGAAACTTTAAAATTAAGTGTATTGTTAGCTTGTGCATGGATTATTGAAGTGCATATGAAATTCAAAACATGTATTTTAGGTGATCTATAATATTTAGTGCCTTGATTTTATCAGCTGTGTTTGCTCATGCCTATTTTTAGGGAGCAATCTAGAGTGATTGCAAAGGTCTGTATTCTTGGAAAAAGTCAGGAACAATAAAAAGAAAGAGGAACATGGGAAAAATGTTTTTATTGAAAAATACTTGACTAATACATCATTTCAATGATAAACTATTGGCTGATTAGTAGTTAACTTACTTAGTTTTACTATAGCATTTATTATGTGATAATTGACCTGCCTTTTCAATTATTATTTCAGGAACAACAATACCCCATCTTTTGAATAGTACGTCTAACAATCTGTATTTAAATTTTCAATCAGACATCAGTGTTTCTGCTGCAGGTTTTCACCTTGAATACACAGGTAAATATAACTTCATGTGCTATTCAGGAAAGTTAAGAGCAAGTCCATATTAATTTTTAAGTATTACTTTTCCAAATGTAGAAATTAAATAGACTTTGTCAAAAGACAACATTCAGCTTATTTAAGATTTTGATGTGTTCCTTCAGTTCAATTACAAAACTATATGTATAATGTTCTAATGATTTTCATCTTTATTTTTAACTGTAAAAACACAACATGAAATCTACCCTCTTAATAAACTTTTATGTGCACAACACAGAATTGTTAACTATAAGCACAATGTTATAGAGCAGATCTCTAGCACTATTCATCTTGCATAACTTAAACTTTATACTTGTTGAATAGCAACCCATTTTGCCCTTCCCCCAGCCCCTGGACCCAACATTATAGTCTCTATTTCTATGAGTTTGACTATTTTAGATCCTTCATATAAGTGGTATCATTCTAGCACTATTCATCTTGCATAACTTAAACTTTATACTTGTTGAATAGCAACCCATTTCGCCCTTCCCCCAGCCCCTGGACCCAACATTATAGTCTCTATTTCTATGAGTTTGACTATTTTAGATCCTTCATATAAGTGGTATCATGTAGTATTTGTCCTTCTGTGTCTGGCTTATTCCCATTAGCATAAAGTCCACCAGGTTCGTCCATGTTATCACGTGTGGCAGGATGTGATACTTTTAAAGACCAGGAAATCCCAATGTTATTTAAATTATTCCATGTGCTTTTTGTGGAGCATACCATACGTTCCCATACTAGTCTCAATAGAAAACTACGAACTAATGTCTTTTATGAATATGACGCAAAAGTTTTATTTTTCCAGCTCATTGAGTTTAATTGATATATGGCACTGTGCAAGTTTAACATATATGATGTATTGATTTGATACATGTATCTATTGCAAAATGACTACCACAATAGGGATAGTTAATACCTCCATTGTCTCATATAATTAACATTTTGTTTTGAGAACATTTCAGATCTAGTCTCTTAGCAACTTTCAAGTGTATGATACAATATTGTTAACTATAGTCACCATGCTGTACATAGCATCCCCAGAAACTTACTAATTTTATAACTGGAAGTTTGTACCTTTTGACTCACACTGCCCCATTTCACCCAATCTCCAGCCCCTGGCAACCACAATGCTACTTATTGTTTCTAAGAGTTCACCTTTTTTAGATTGCACATATAAATGAGCTCATACAGTATTTGTTTTTCTCTCTCTGACTTATTTCACTTAGCATAAAACCTTAAAGTCCATATGCTAAGGATGGACCTTAGCATAACAAGATCCATCCATGTTGTTGCAAATGTCAGTATTTCGTTCTTTTCCATAGCTTAGATAGATAGATAGATAGATAGATAGATAGATAGATAGATAGAGATATATAGTTATAGTTATACATCTATCTATATCTATCTATGTCTATATCTAATATCTATATCTGTATACCTATATCTGTGTCTATATATATAACATTTTTGTTATCCAATCATCTAATGACGGACAACACTTAGATTGTTTCTGTATCTTGGCTATTGTGAATAATGCCGCAATGAACACTGAGTACAGATATCTCTTTGAGATCCCGATTTCATTTCCTTTGGATAAATACCCAGAAGTGTACTACTGGCTCATATGATAGTTCTGTTTTTAATTTTTTGAGGAACTTCCATAGTGTTTTCCATAGTGGCTGCCCCAATTTACAATTTCATCATCAGTGCACAAGGGTTCCATTTTTCCCACATCTTCATCAACACTTGTTATCATTTTGATGAAAGTCATTCTAACAGGTTTCAGGTGACATCTCATCATGCTTTTGATTTACATTTCAAAAATTCTCATGATTAGTGATGTTGAACATCTTTTCATGTACCTATAAGCCATTTATATGTCTTCTTTGGAAAATAATATTTTAGATCCTCTGCCCATTTTTTTTAAATCAGTTTTTATTTTCTGAATTATGAGTTCCTTGTATATCTTGTATATCAACCCCTTATCAAATAGGTATTTTGAAGATTTTTTTTCTCATTATGTAGGCTGCCTCTTGATTTTGTTGATTGTTATTTTTCCTGGGCAGAAGCATTTTTATTTGATGTAGTCCTTCTTTAGTTTGCTTTTGTAGCTTGTGTTTTTGGTGCCATATTAAAAAAAAATCAATGTCAAGATCAATGTCAAGGAGATTTTTTCCAATGTTTTCTTCTAAGACTTTTATAGTATCAGGTCTTATGTTTAAGTCTTTAATGCATTTCCAATTAATGTTTGTAAGTGGTGAAAGATAGAGGTTCAATTTTATTCTTCTGCATATGATTATCCCAGCACCATTTATTGAAGAGACTATTCTTTCCCTCTTGAGTATTCTTGGTTACCTTGTCAAATGTAGTTGACTGTATATGCAATGGTTTATTATTGGGCCCTCGATTCTGTTTCGTTGGCCCAAGTGTACATTTTTATGCCAGTACCATACTGTTTTGTTTACTGTAGCCCTTGTAATATATTGGGTTGTCAGAAAAGTCATGACGTATTTTTTCTGTTTTTCCTTGCAAAAATGTGTCATGACTTTTCCGACAACCCAATACTTTGAAATCAGAAAGAACAATGCTTCCAGCTTTATTCTTGTTTCTCAGGTTTGCTTTGGGCATTTGGGGTCTTTTGTGGTTCCACATGAATTTTAGGATTTTTTTTTCTATTTATGTGAAAAATGTAATTGGGATTTTGATAAGGTTTGTATTGAATATATAGATGGCTTTGGGGTATATGGACATTTTAACAATATTGATTCCTCCAATCATGAATAAAGAATATCTTTCCATTTATTAGTATCTTCTACAGTTACTCTCATCAAACTCATAGTTTTAAGTATACAGGTCTTTTACCTCTATGCTTAAATTTATTCCATTATTGTGTTTACTTTTTATGCTATTGTAAGTAGAATTGCTTTCTTTCTTTTTCACATATTTTATTGTTAGTATATAGTATCACACTAATTTCTGTATGTTGATTTTGTATCCTGCAACTTTATCAAATTTGTTTTATTGTAACTTTTTTTGGTAGAGTTTTTAGGATTTTCTGTATATATGATCGTATCACCTGCCAACAGAGATAATTTTACTTTGCCTTTCGGGATTGCAAAGGCAAACATCTGCCCAAAGATGTTTCCTTTTCTACTTTTTCCCTAATTGCTCTGGCTAGGATTTCTAGTGCTGTGTTGTATAAGAGTCTTGTTCCTTGTCTTAAAGGAAAAGGTTTCAAACTTACACCAGTATGTATATTAACTGTGGGCTTTTTATATATGGCCTTTATTGTGTTGAGATAGATATCTTCTGTAGCCATTTTGTTAAGAGATTTTATTATGACAGAACACTGCATTTTGTCAAGTGCTCTTTTCTGCATCTATTGAGATGCTCATATGACTTTCATCTTGCCTTCTATTAATGTCATGTATCACATTTACTGATTTGCACATGGTGAACCATCCTTGCATACCAGGCATAAATACCACTTGATGATGGTGTATGATCCTTTTAATGTGCTTATGAACTTGACTTGCTGGTATTTTACTGTGGATTTTTGCATCTATATTCATCAGGCATGTTGTCTTGTTTTTTTCTAGTGTCTTTGGCTATGGCATGAGGGACATGGCTGGCTTCATAATATAAGTTTGGAATGGTTCCCTCTTTAGTATTTGGAAGAGTTTGAAAAGGATCAATGTTAGTTTTTTAAATGTTTGGTAGAATTGACCTGTGAAGCTATCTGTTCCTGTACTTTTCTTTGCTGGAATGTTTTTAACTACTGATTTAATCTCCTTACTCATTTTGGTCTATCTAGATTTCAATTTCTTCATGATTCAGTCTTGGTAGGTTCTATGTTTTTAGGAATTTATCTTTTTTCTAAGTTATCCAACTTGTTTCTGTAAAATTTTCATAGTACAGAGATTTTGTGATCCTTTTTATTTCTGTAGTATCAGTTCTAATGTCTCTACTTTCATTACAAGTATTTTCAAATTATGGAAAAAGGAACTGGACCTGTAGAAACTTTAAAACTGAAATGAGAATAAGTGGCTTCTCTTGTTGGCATAGAATATATATAATTACCTCCCAATTTCCTACAAAATTTTAGACACAGAAAAGGTTTAATACCCAAATTAAATACATGTATAAGTGTCTATTTTGCTATGTAAAATTATCACAAGTGTAATTGGGTGGTTATTGGGTAATTTTGAGCTTACTTACTGTCTCCCTAGAAAGTAAGCTTCAGGAAGACAGGATCTGTCTTTAGTACCAGACCATGTCCATTTAGGATGTCCTTCTGTCTCTTGCACTGAATCCAGTCTCTGAACCTTCTTAGGTATTCAAAACACATTTTTTGGCTGAATAATGAATGAGTGACACAGCACCTAGAAATATAAGATAACAATTATAAAATATTGGCATATATCATTAACATCAGTATACCTACACTGATGCTGGTGTTCAAAAAGTCATTTAGCAGTCTGGTCTGTGCACATTTTGTGATTTTCTTGGCTTCTGCTTCCTGAAGGAATCCCACTGAGTATGATTTTCTCAACCTCGCTTTATTCAGGCCACTCAATCCATCACTGTAACATCATTACCTACACTGGAAGTTCTGATAGAAAAGAAACTCCCTGGAGGGAGTGGGGAGGACAAAAAAAATAGAGGCTACAATGATAAACATGTACTAAAAAAAACACTGGTTAATTGATTTTTGACAGTATTTTTGGTTTTATATTGAAGTTTATTTTCTAGCTATTGCTAATCTCACACAGAATTAGCGTATCATTGTAATTGTAATAGATTACGAATCAGTAAAAGATTTATTCATTCATTCTTCATTTGACCAATAAATATTTTAAAACACCTACTCTATGTCAGGTACTATGTTCCACGTGGGAATTGCAAAGATAAATATGTTACAGAATCTTTTTTTGAAGAGATCACATCTAGTAGAAGAGACAGAGAGATGAAGCAATAAT